AAATCAAAAGCAAGAAAATTAAGGATAATGGAGTAAACAAGAATTGTTAGTACTTCCTTTGAGAGGATAGATGATGAAAGCCAACTTGTTACCATTGTTTAACGAAAGAAGTAGTAATATTCTGTAAAACATCTTTAACAGCTATATGCACTCAGTTTGGAGTTGTTTTTGTGGGCTAGATACAAGAAAAACGTGATTTATTTGCCCTGTTGGATTGTTAATGGAATATGGTGAAGATTGAAAAGGGACAAATAATATTTAATTAATATTTGAAAATTTGTGAGATCTGTATCTAAAGAGCATAATGACTGTTGAGACTGGTCAGAAGTAATTTATATAATATTTATGTAGTTAACTAAGTAGTTAAAGCCCATTTGATAGAAATGTTCAAATCTATTTTCAGGAAGTAAGATGTGTTTGCTGTACATGGAAAATAGTGGTTGTATATGTATATGTTTGTGTCTGTCTGTGTGTATATGTGGTATGTGTTTATTATTCTTAAAACCCAATAAATATATTGTTAAAAAAAAAAGGCTCATAGGGTTGCCAGGCCCCACCCAGCTACCGGCAGGGGATCCAGGTTGGGGAACTCCTGGAGAATTGGGGTTGGAGTCTGGGGAGGACAGGGACCTCAGTGAGGTACAATGCCATAGAATCCACCCTCCAAAGCATCCATTTTCTCCAGGGGAACTGATCTCTGTAGTCTGGAGATGAGCTGTAATTCCAGGGGATTCCCAGGTCCCAACTGGAGGCTAGCATCCCCAGGGTCCCACATTCTCCATTTGATATCTAGTACAAAGGCAGGCAGCCACCCACATGAACGCCTAACAGTGGTGCATCAGATCATTTTTCTCACTACGCAGGGCTGGTTCTCTAATTTAGGGTCCAAGGCAAGACCCTGAGATACTGGCAACTCTGAAACTCAACTTGTTTCCCATTGGCCAAGTACATAGTCCCGCTGCACACTGCATTGGTCAGGCTGCACCTGGAGTCTTGTGTGCAGTTCTGGAGGCCTCACTTCAAAAAGGATGTGGACAGAATGGAGCGGGTACAGAGGAGAGTGACGAGTATGATTGGGGGCCTGGAGACCAAGCCCTATGAGGAAAGGTTGAGGGACTTGAAAATGTTTAGTTGTCAGATCCCAAGTCAGGATAACAAACCCACGTTCCAAAGAAGTAAGATTTATTTCCAAAGCATGGTTGATCATGAACATACAGAGATTGTTCAGAATAAAGACAATACACAAGGGCAACGTAATATAGGAACTTCAAACTTGGTTAACCCAATGGGTACAATTCCCTCGCAAGGGAGCTGATTAGAAAAGGCGCGAAGTAGCCTGAGAACCACAACAGCTAATACCATAAACACAAGTTGAGTTCACACGGGAAATATAATTAAGCTAGGCAAGAAGACATAACACTCCAACGTCCACCTGCAGGAGACACTTGGCAGTTACAGCAGCATACCAGAAGAGGATAACAAGGGGG